GAGTCATTGATATCCCCTCAAGTGGATTTCGGCATGATCAGAAGAAAAATTGCCTGCTCCATAAATATACACTACTTTCTATGGACAGGCTACATGGAAGCAAAGACCCAACTCTGAGCAGACTGTTTAGACTAGATATAATAACCATTCTCTGTGGTGGAGGATGAGACACTTCTAACAGAAACCTGCTCATTCTTTTCACCAGAATTGTTTGCTTGTTTGTTTCTAGCCCACAGGAAATAAGCAGAAAACCCACACGTTTTCCTGGACTGATCTTTCATTTGAAACAAGGTTTAATTGAGACCTTATTATTTCTATTTTTAATGACCCCGGTGAACTAATTTACTCTAAGTTTGCAATGACCCGAATTCACGTAAACAAAACCAGCCCACGCCTGCAGCCCCGAGCAACCATTGGTGTCCTCGCTCCGATCCCTTGCAGGTGAAAGCGCCACAGGGCGAGGCTGCCTTCAGCGCTCCTCGCTGCCAGCTCGGGCGCGGCGTTCCCAGCCTGCGGAGCCGAATGCTGTTCGCCGTGTCTGCAGTGCAGCAGTGCCCGTTCACCAGCCGCCTTCCCAGGGCGCGGAGGATGCTCGCCCTGCCGGCCTGGCCGCGCCGCGCCAGCACCTCCCCTCGCACGGCAGGGCGCTGCGGCCGGAGCGGGGCTGTCGCGGCTGCCCCGGTGCCGCTGCCCCCGGCTGCCGGGGGCACACGGCGGAGCGGAGCGGGGCATGTGCCCGGCTCGGCTCGGCTCGGCTCGGCTCGGCCCGGGAGCGTCCCCGGAGCCGCCCGCGGGGGTGTCCCGCGGCACGCGCTCGGGCCAATAACCATCCCAGCCTCCCGGTTAATTGGGAACGGAACTAAGGAGTGGTGCCGCCCCTCCGGCCCCCGGGGCGTCCGACCCCGCGGGCCCGCCCCGCCCCGCCCGGCTCTCCAGCGCAGGTGCGGGGCCCGCTGCTGCCAAGTAAGGCGCTGGGATCCCCCTCCCACGAGAGCCATCCGGATGGAGGCTTTTTGGCGACCTGGTCTGACCTGGCAGGAGCCAAGTAGGTCTGCACTCCTAAAATACGATGATGTTTTAAGGTATACTTTTTTTTTTTTTTTTTTAAATATATTAAGGTGTTTTTAAGAATTGTTGTAAAGGTAGCATAGGCTTTTGAGCACCCATAAATTTATCAAATGCCATGGATAGTTAAGCTACTTTAAAGCTCTGAAAGTAGCATAAGTGTTTAAGCCACTTTAGATGTTTAAATCTGTATAAGCTGTTAAAACACCTTTAATCCTCAAGTGCTTAAATCACCTTAAATTCTGTGAGTTAGGTGAATGAGCTGCCTTGAAAGAAAGAACCTTAGCTCCTGTTCCCTCCAGCCCTCAGTTACCTGATAGATGGTGGTGAAAGTGAGTGAACTGGAGTCCTTGGAACTTTCACAGAGTTCAGTGTAGCATTGTGTTCTAAGGAGTGTGCCCGTTCTGTGCCCTCTTAAGTTAAAACTATGGTGCTGCTCCCACTGGTTTTCAGGCCTTGATAAGGATTATGAACTTCTGTGCATTTTTTTGACCAGTCCTGAAAGCCGAGATGTGGAAAGGGAAAAACGTATTGACACTTGCCTGTCTGCTAAAGAATAGGCAATACGCTTGCTTGAACACAGGCAGCAATAAAGAGTATGAATTTGTTAATTTGTGTCATACTTTTCCATATCTTCTGCTTTGGGATCACTCAGTCCCTTACCTGGCTATGTACTGTATGTGGAAGCCTCTCTACTTCTCCCTTCCCCCAACTCTATGAGGTGCTTTGGTGATGTGATGAGCTTTGAGGCAAAAGCTGCTGTCACTCATGACTCCTTCAGCCTGGGCCTCACATTTCTTTGTCACAGACCTGAAGGTGTCATTGTCCTTTTGGGCTGCAGAATCATGGGATAATTGTGGCTGGAGAGAACCTCTAGAGACCATTTAGTCCAAGTCAGTGCTCCAAGTTCTGGGTTTAGCCAGGTGGCTTGCAGTCTGACACTCCTGAGACTTCTCTGGGATGCCTGCACCCTCACCTGGGAGGCTTAATTCAAGGCTGTGTCCCCACCCTTCTCCCCTTCTAGAGAAAATGTTGAGCTTTCATCTCCTGAGCAGTCCCCAGATTGGTTCTCCTTTGTGGGAGATGGTGAGACTAGGATGGATGATTTGCCACTTTGAGAGGAATGATTTGCAAAGGGAGGCACAGATGCATGGAGGGCAGCCAAGCCTTTCCTGGCACAAAGCATCCACCTTCCCCAAATGTCTGGGTAATTCTTTCACCCCTGAATTGAATCCAGCCCCACTGACTGGTGAGAGTAGCCAGGCCACGCAGATTAGGGGAATACTGATCTCAGGGGCTTTCTGAGCAAGAAATCAGAGCTTGAGGAACTGCCCTTTACACTGTAGAGGAACAAAAAACCTGTGGCTTTTTAGCTCATTCTCTTTAGGTCATAAAAAGGCAGTGATGAGGACAAAACTGGTTTTCTCACCTCGATGAAAACATCTGAAGAAAATTTTTGCTTACCTTTAAAAATGGTCTCCAACATCACACTACAGAAATAGTATTTCTATTTGAATCTCATAGTTGAATTTAACAGGAAAAAAGAAATAGGATTGCATAGATTTTGATGTGAGGTAGCTCAGCAGCAGATCTCTCCTGGTGCTGTTTCGGTGGCTGATAAGGTGGAATTTAACATTTTCCAGATCCAGATTGGGCAACAATCTTGTTTTCTGTTGCTACAACATTTAAGGGTCCCATTGTCAAAAACTGCACGTGCTGTAGATATATCTTACCCTCTTCCCCCCCTCGTCTCTGGAAGGAACCCTTAAAAATAAAGTTATACTTTGCTTTCCATTTGGAATGCTCACTGAAAATGCAGCGGCCAGCATGCTCGAAAGGTGTTGAGGATGTGCCCGAGCGGCACAGGGGGAAAATCTTCCTTGGGCGATGGCAGAAGAACCTCTTGGTGGCGCTTGTGCACACTGTGTCGTGTTCTCCTTTGCCCATTGACACGGGGTGTCGATCTTCCCCCTGGAAATACCGTGCTCTGTATTTCTGCTCGCTGCCCTTCTTCTCTAGAAGCTCTGTTTGGGGACTGGAACTCCAGGCTATTTTTAGTCAGGGTTTGCTATCTTGGGAGGGAAAGATCAAATTGAGGCTGATTACTTTCAAATGGAAATGAAACCAAATCA